ATACTGAATAAGGGAAAGCTGGAAAGTTTTTCCTCTTAGATCAGGAACAAAACAAGGATGCCCATTTTCACCACTTCTATTCAACACAGTACTAGAAGTCCTAGCCAGAGCAATTAGACAAGGGAAAGAAATAAAAGGCATATAAATTGGAAAGGAGGAAGTCAAACTGCCCCTGTTTGCAGATAATATGATCTTATATATAGAAACCCTAAAGACTCCACAAAAACTGTTAGAACCAATAAACAAATTTAGTAAGTTACAGAATACAAAATCAATGTACAAAAGTCAGTAGCATTTCTACATACTAATAGCCAAGTATCTGAAAAAGAAATCAAGAAAACAATTCCTTTTACAATACCTACAAAAAAATAAGATACCTAGGAATAAACTTAACTGAGGAGGTAAAAGACCTTTACAATGAAACCTATAAAACTTTGAAGAAGGAAATTCAGAAAGATAGGAATAAATGGAAAGATATTCCATGTTCATGGATTGGAAGAATTAATATTGTTAATATTAATATGGCCATTCTACCCAAAATTCTACCCGAAGCGATCTACAGATTTAATACAATTTCTATCAGAATATCAATGACATTCTTCACAGAAATAGAAAAAACAACCCCAAAATTCACATGAAACCAAAAAAGACCCCAAATAGCCAAAACAATCCTGAGAAAAACAGTTGGAGGCATCATTATGCTCCCTGACTTCAAGTTATACTACAAAGCTATAATAACCAAAACTGCATGGTACTGGCCTAAAAACAGACACACAGACTAATGGAACAGAATAGAGAACCCAGAAATAAATTAACACACCTACAGCCAACTGATCTTTGACAAAGGTGCCAAGAATACATATTGGGGAAAAGATAGTCTCTTCAATAAATAGCACTGGGAAAACTGGATATCCACATGCAGAAAAAATGAGACCAAACCCTACCTCACACCATAGATTAAAGATTTAAATGTAAAACCCGAAACTATGAAATTGCTAGAAGAAAACAGGGGAAATGATGCACAGCATGGGGCTGGGCAAGGATTTTTTAAATAAAACTTCAAAAGCACAAGCAACAAAAGCAAACACAGACAAGTAGGATTACGTCAAACTAAAAAGCTTCTGCTCATCAAAGGAAACTGTTAACAGAGTGAAGAGACAACCCACAAGATGGGAGAAAATATTTGCAAACTATACATCTGAAAAGGGGTTAATATCAAGAATATACAAGGAACTTAACAGAAAAAAAAAAAAAAACCAATTGAGCAAAGGGCAAAGAATCTTAATAGACAATTCTCAAAAGAAGACACACAAATGGCCAACAAACATATGAAAAAAAGCTCAACATCACTAATCATCAGGGAAATGCAAATCAAAACAACAATGAGATACCTCCTCACTCCAGTTATAATAGTTATTATCAAAAAGACAAAAGAGGGACTTTTGGTCAAGATGACAGAATAGATAGATGGTCCCCAGCACCACTCTCTCCCACAAATCAACCAATTTACTACTATTAAAAAGCAACAACAGCCAAGCTGGGGCCGCTACAGCTCAGGCAAGAAGAGAGACCTACGGAGTACATGAAGGTGGGAAAAGCCACAATGAGAGAAAGAAAAAACCTCTCCAACTGTTTCAAATCCCAGCCACTCCCAGGTTGGAGCTACTGAGCACACAGAGCAGAAGCTGGCAAAAAGCCACAGCTGTGCCCTTCAGATGAAGTTGCTTGGAGGCAGCAGGGGAGAAGAGGGCCCTGGTGGCCCCAGGCCAGCAATACCACTAATAGGGTTCCCATGGGCCCACATAGGATCAAGGAGCCACAACAACTGAAAAAAAGGAGCCACTCAGAGGCCAGGGAGTCATTGCAAGGGACCAGAGCACGGCCCATCCCATGGGAAGTGTTTGGAGCATGGGCGGTGGGGGAGATGGGCCTACCAGGGGAACACTGGGGCACAGTGAGGACAGCTGATCTGCACCCCAATCAGCATAGGACCACTCAGAGGAGACTGGTCAGGAATAAAGAATTACATGGGATGCAGTTTGATGAAAAGACTCAGGCCCAGACCAGAGTTTCTACACAACCCAGGGGCACCGGATTTCACTAGACCCAGAAGTACCTATAAAGTCAACCATTAAAACCTGAGCTACACAAAAAGCCTTCCCTAGGGAATCAGCCACAAAGCAGCAATTTAGCTCAACCACAGAGCTCAAGTAGTGGTCCCTACAGAAGGTCCCCCAGTTTAGAAGTAAGCAAAGGACAACAAATTAGTTCCTGTGCGGAGTTTAAGTGATGGGAACAGCAAATAATCTAACACAGAACTGAAAGAAAAGACAAAGTACCCACAACTAGAGGCAAAGTTTGATATTAACTAGTAAAGGTCTCATTTCACCAAAGAACACCTTTAACACCTAGAAGGAATGGAAGTCCTCTGGGCTATCAAGTCAGGAAGTGAGGAGGGCGGGGGCCTCAGCCATGCCCCCCAACACCTGCAACCAGTCCCAAGGATGGGGGCCGAGGGCCTTGGCCGCACACCCCCAACAAGTGCAACTACCCCAGAGACAACCACCAAGCCACCACAGGAAGTGCCCCGGCCTCTCCCGAGCCAGGGCGGTACAAGCTGCCGGCCTCAGCCATGCCCCGCTGACACATGCAACCAGCCCAGCGATGACCACCAAGCTGCAGCAAGAAGGGCCCCAGGTTCCCGAGGTGGGGTGGTAGGAGGTGGGGGATTTTGCCAAACCCCCTGGACATCTGCACCCAGACCGGCAATGACCAAGCCACCACTGGAAGCCCCCCGGTCTCCCCTGTGGGAATGTTGGGGGTGCCACAGGCCTCAATCCCACCCCTCCTCCCTCCTCCTTCTTCCATCACATTTCCTTCCACTTTCCCCTCTCCCTCTCCCTACCAAATGCTCTGCAACAACAGCATAGAATGTAAAAAAAAAAAAAAAATACTGATTAAAAAAAAAAAGAAAAAAACCCAAGAAGACAAAAGAAAGCAAGTACTGGTGAGGATGTGGAGAAAAGAGAACACTTGCACACTGTTGGTGGGAGTGTAAACTAGTACAGCCATTATGGAAAACAGTGTGGAGGTTCTTCAAAAAAAATTTTTTTTTTTTTTGTCTTTTTTCGTGTCTGGCAACGGATCGCAACCCTCAGTGTCGCGCCCGTACCGGACTGGGACCAGCAACGGGATCGCAAGCCTCGGTGCTGCGCCCGCACCTCACTCAGCCAGTGAGCGGGAACCGGTCTGTATGTGGGATCCGAACCCTCGGCGGGAGCGCCGCCGCACTCCCAAGCGGCGCACTGTAGCAGTGCGCCACCGGGCCGGCCCAGTTCTTCAAAAATTTAAAAACAGAACTACCATTTGATCCAGCAATCCCACTACTGGGTACATACCCAAAGAAAATGAAGTCAGTATGTCGAAGAGACATCTGCACTCCCATGTTTTTTGCAGCACAATTTGCAACAGTCAAGAGATGGAATCAACCTAAGTATCCAACAACAGATGAATGGATTTTTTAAATGTGGTATATATACATAATGGAATACTATTCAGCCATTAAAAAAAAAAAGGAAATCCTGTCATTTGTGACAACTTGGATGGACTTGTAGAACATTATGTTAATTGAAGGAAAACAACCACAGAAAGATAAATACCATATGATTTCACTCATTTGTAGAATCTAAAAAAAAAAAAGTTGGTATTATAGAGGCAGAGAGTAGAACAGTGGTTACCACAGACTGGGGATTTGGGGAGGGAAAACAGGAAGAGGTTGGCCAACAGGTAAAAATTCAAATAGGAGGAATAAGTTCTGATGTTCTATTGCACAGTAGGGTGACTATGGTTAATATTTAAGTTTTATATATTACATTGATAGCTAGAGGAATGCCTTTTGAATGTTTCCGACATAAATAGTAAATACATAAAGTGACTGATACATTAACTATCATAACCCAATTATTATGCAACATATATATGTATCAAAACATCAGATTGTACCCTATATGTTTAATTACAATGTATCAATTAAAAAAATTGTTTTTAATTTTGGAAGATATTTTAACTTTATGACAGTTTATTATAAATTAACGTTCAGAAACTGCTTGAGCCAACTCAAAATAAAAACAAGCCAATTTTCAGGCTAAAAAACACAAAAACAAAAACAGGTGATCAGGAAAAGAAATGGAAATGGAAAGGACAATAGATCTGAGTATCATTCAAGATGTAAAAACTAAAGCTTGAGGTGATTAGGCATAAATGATGAAAAGAGGAAAGAGTTAAAGATAATCCTGAGCTTTACAGCATGAGGCAAATGAATGGTTCTACCATTAAATGAGATAAAAAATACAGAAGGAAATTTGGAGGAAAAACAATGACTTAGTTCACTGCCTACTGGATGTGACCTATAGGCAGGAGGAAAACTCCAATAAACAAACAGAAACAATAGGGAACAAAGAAGAGAGATTAAGATCTACGGAAGCTCTGCCCAATAAAGCTTTCCACAATGATGGAAATGTTCTATAGCTGTGCTGTCTAACACAACACATTAGCCTCATGTGACTTTGATCACTTGAATGTGACTAGTGCAATAGAGGAACTGATTTTTATTTTTAATTAATTTTAATTTAATAGCTACAGGTGGCTAGTTACTACTATATTGGACATAACACATCTAGAAATTTAGGAGCATTCACATTTTCCTTCTCTCACTTTCCAGACACATGAAATTTAAGATTTACATTTGATTTAGATGACTCAAATAGTTTTAAAATATTACCCTGAGTTAATATATTACAAAACTGAAGAACTATGATCCATCCTCAGTCAAAAAGCATGATTACTTCCTTTTAAGTAATTCTTAATTCCATTTGTAAACCAAAATGAAACAGTAAAAACTGCATGGTTTTGGCAAGATGACATTAAGACACAGTCACAAAACAAACACCATCCATGGGTAAAGAAGTCTAGTTTGAGAGCTCCACTATTCGAATACTGACCTCTCCATCACTATCAGATATCACAATGAATGCATCCTCAAGTTTACGTTTCCTCTTCACACTGACAGAACTGGTAGTTTCCGCATCCTTCTTCTCCTGGTTCTGAGATTCAGAGGTTTCTTTTACTTTTTTCTTTTTCCGTGGCATCCTTTTGTCTGAAATACAAGGAAAACTACTCAAAGTATAAGTTTTCTGGAAGCTATTCAAATTGGCCATAATGTAAAAGAAAAAGATATTCACCTAACAAAAGTAAAACAGGATTTCTGAACTTTTCCACTACTCAATAAAAATCGTATTTTTTTTCTATAGAGGAAAAATATATATAAATACATAAATCTTATATCCATGGTAAAATTTCAATAGCAGTAATACAAAAATTTATCCTAGTTCCTTACACATTAAGTTAGAGAACTGGTTTTCTTTACCCCATATTATAATTTACCTAAAAGACTTTTTTAAAATACCAATGTCTCAATCTGATAAAGGGCATCTACAAAAAAACCCACAGCTAATAAGTAAATATCATATTTAAAGGTAAAAGATTGAATGCTTTCTCCTTAAGACAAGGAGCAAGACAGGAAGACCTGTTTTCATCACTGAGCATTACACTGGAGATTCTAGGCAGGTCAATTATGCAAGAAAAAATAAAAGACACAAGAGGGCTGGCCAATTAGCTCCTTTAGGAGAATATGGTGCTGGCAACACCAAGGTCATGGGTTCAGATCACCTTAGTGGCCAACCACCACAAAAAAAAAAAAAAAAGAAAGAAAGAAAAGACATTAAAATTGGAAAGGAAAAAGTAAAACTATCACCATTTACAGATGTCTTGATTTTAAAAAGACACCAAAAAATCCACTAAAAAACTATTATAACTAACAAACAAGTTCATCGAGGTTGCAGGATACAGGGTCAGTATACAAAAACCAATTGCATTGCTACATATACTAGTAATAAACACTCCAAAAATGAAATTTCAAAACTTCCATTTCTAATAGCATTGAAAACTTAAAAATCCTCAGGAATAAAATTAACAAAGGAAGTACAAGACATGGAACTGAAAACTCAATATAATGTTGAAAGAAATTTAGGGAAGGGCTGGCCGGTTAGCTTCCTCAGTGCATGGTGCTGATAAAGCCAAGGTCAAGGGTTAGGATACCCTTACTGGCCAGCTGAGGAAAGGGAAAAGGAAAAAGGAAAGGAAAAGAAAAGAAAGGAGGGCCGGCCCGGTGGCGCACTGCTACAGTGTGCCGCTTGGGAGCGCGGTGGCGCTCCCGG